AGCACGCCGACGAGCGAAGCCTTCAGTAAAACGCATCCAGGGAGGGGATCGAGCAGGGCGCCCAATGCTGTTTAGCAGACGCCGGTTGTGGGGGTCGGGGGTGACTCTTCCTCCATAAGAGTGGGGCCCAGGGCAACTGTAGCGGCAACGCTTGGGGGAAGAGTCGGGGCGGGGGTGCGCTGTGATCTTTATCGTTACCCCGGGGGGGGGAGGATGGGGCCCAGGAAGCGACCATTACGCGCCTGAAGGTGCGAAAACAATCGCGAGGGATGGCGGCAGGCAGGGAGGCAGCAGGAAAAGAAGGTCGCCAACTTCAGAAAGCAACTTACGGAACAAATGCGCAGCACCCCGCAGTTGTGGATAAGAGTGGACGGGGCTTGGCGCGGGGTGGGTCGCGGGGGTGGGTCGCAGGGTGGGCCGCGGGATGGGTCGCGGCGTGGGCCGCGGGTTGGCGGGTCGCGGCGGGGTCGCATACGAGGGCAGGGCGCCCCGGCACGCGCGGCAGCCTGGGCGAGGGTGAGGAGGCAACATCTGGGAGGTCTTCGTCGGAACCGTTCTGACGAAGACACCCCAGGAGTTGCCTCCTCAGGCTTAGATTGGGCTTAGATTGCTCTTGTCACCGTTACGGTGATAAGAGCAACCTAAACCCGATGAGAACGCCATTGAGCCAAGATTCGGCCCGGAATAAGCCTGCGATCAAGCCAAACTAAGCGGGCTAGACTGGATTGAATTAGCCCGGCCAGTCTTCGACCCAGCATCGCCGAGTCTGAATCTCACCTCTCAGGAGTTGCATCCGAACGAAGGCGGGCGACAGGCAGGGAGGCAGGTAGGCGAAAAGGTTGCCGATTTTACGCAAGCTTAAGAAAGCAACCTACGGAATACTCAGATCGCCCCCACGCCGCCCAAAAGCGCGTCCAACGTCGCGCAACGCGGACGCAACGCATCTCCCTCACACGAGGCCAGTGATTGAATGCTATGTTGGCGCTATTCGGCGCCAAAGCTTTGGGACGCAACTTTCCTGTCGCCCGCTTCCGCTGGTCTTCCGCAACCCCTTCCGCCGATGAAGAGATGCCAACTTCTTGATCCCTCTACGGCGAAGCTCCCCTCTGGAGCGCCCCATATCCATACCCACTGCCTTGAGGTCTGGACTCATCGGCCGCGACTCCATGTGCACAGAGCGGCGTTGCGCGGATGCGCCGCGCGGAGCGCATCCATCGCATCTCGTATCCACTGGATCGCGGCTTCCAGGCCTCGAGGGCACAGGTGTGGATAAGCATGCTTGCCGCTCGTGAGGAGTTTTGATTGTCTCGTACATCATGCCGTACCCATGTGTACACATGTGCGCGGGCATAAATTCTTGACGTCGGCGCTGTTCGCAGAGATGAGAGCGGGGGCCCCCGATCTGGCCGACATCGACGCGGCCCCCGAAACACCGACCGCTGCATCCCCACATCGGGCCGAGACGCCGACCACGTCATCCCCCATGCGATCGACGCTCCGGCCAGCGCGCGCACACACACACAACACACACACAAACACCTGGTCCTTCACTAGCGCTCCTAGGGGTTGTCAACACGCGCGCTGGGGAGTCGGCAGGCACGACCCCGCCGAGGGTCCGCCCAAGACCCTCTTCTGGGACTGAAGGCGGGCAAGGCGCTCAGGACGTGCAGTTGATCACGCTGGTGCGGCGGCCCAGGCTCCCGGCTGGGTAGGATTGGCACGGACTCCGCTACACGCAAAGGTGCCCAAAGGCAAGAGTGGCCTCCCGAGTGGGGGAGCAGCTGCGAAATTGACTTACCCCAAAATAGATAGTCTCGTCGAGTGCATACAAAAGGACCGTATCATGTTCGCAGATCTACGAGCTGCGCATTGTCCGCAGATTCGGCGCGCCAGCCCTTTGGGGGCAAGCCACTCTGTAGCCCGTCCCCTGCTCGAGCCTGTGGGGCACAGCTTGCCGATCGTCGCGCGCGGTGCGGCGTTGTGCGGCCTGCGTGCCTGGGCCTGGCCCCCGGAGGAGCGCGCACCCCGAGAGGAGCGCCCCCCCCCCAATGCGCCCCCCCCCCCGGAGGAGCCCGCACCGGGGGCCTCCCCAGGAAGAGGGCTCACTCCCACGGCACGTTCGTGTCGTGCCGACTTCGGCGTTGGCTTCGGGCACCACGGGGATCCTTCAACCTGGACAGATCGGCCGTTCCCGGAACGTCAGATAGTTCAAGTCGACCACCTTTAAATCGCCGGCGGCGTTCGATGCTTCCTCGATGGCGGCATCCGGGCGCCTCTGTTGCACCCGGGGCCCGCTGCGGGCTGTGGGGCCGTCCGGAATGTGACCAGCAGGAGAGCGCCGACGGGCGAGATGGCGAGGCGGAAGAGGAGGGGTCCATGGGCGGCCACATGTGTGCCCTGAGCCAAACGAAAGAGAAGGAGAAGGGGGAACATGAGAACACGACGATCGCCACGTTCAGCGGGCACAGAACAGGAAAGACAAACAAGGTATGGTGAGTCTTGTTTCCTCCACTGTGGATGTCTGATCTAGATCATGGACGCTTTGTGTGCATGTTTTGAGCCTTTGGGGTGGAGGCTGGCAGGGTAGAGAAGGGTAGCTGGCAGGGTAGCAGCTGGCAGGGTGGCCTGGATGGGGATAGGAGAAGATTCCACTGGGACCCGCTTCCAGCGTGCTTGGCGGGCACTAAGGTCTGTGCCGTGCCTGGGTGGGAGCAGAACTTGCACCAAAAGCCTGCGCGGCATCTCGGTCTGTTTCGTTCTCTCGCGCGCGGCCCGCTCCCATCCTGTTTGGCGGGCCAAACTGAATTCGCCAAGCCGAATTTGTGGCCCCAGATTCAGCAAACATCTCTAGGCGCTTGGGCGAGAGCCCGAGTCCGCTATCCCTGACTCTCGAATTATCTCCCTCGCTCTCTTTCTCTTTCTCTCTCTCCCTCTCTCTCTCTAGATAGTTTTTCATTGTTGTTGGTTCGTTTTTTGTTTCTCTCTCTCTCTCTCTATATATATAGATATATGTATCCCTGTTGTTTTGATGTCTCCCTTTCTCTCTCTCTCTCTCTTTCTTTATGTGTTTATCTCTCCCTCTCTCTCTATATACATGTATAGATATATCTCTTTCTCTCCCTCTGTCAATTTCTATCTCTCTATATCCGCCACCGTGCCCCAGGGCACGGAGTGGGCGTGTCCACAGGCCCTTTGCCGAATCCCCTGAGCCTCAGTCCTCGGTCCTGAAGAATGGTTTGGGGCCCGGACCTCCATTTGCGAAATCTCCTGGGGCTTCCCGCGTGCCCCCAGGGCTTTGGGAAGTGGTGGCGCGTGGCTGTTTCGGCCCACGAGGGCCCCAAGACGGGTCAGGAGGGCCCCGACAGGATCCGAGGTCCAAGAGGGCCCCGAGTCGCCGAACGATCGCTCCAAGACGCTCACGATGGCCCCCAGACGGCCCAAGAGGCCTCCAAGACGCCCCAAGAGGCCTCCAAGAGGCCTCCCAGAAGGGCCCCAAGAGGCAAGAATCATTAATTTTCCTCAGGTTGTTGAAGGTTTTTGGCTTTCTCGCCTTTCGGCCTGCCGCCGCTCGAAGTCGGCCCAGGAGACCCGCGAGATCGCCTCCAGACGGCCAAAGAGGCCTCCAAGAGGGCCCCAAAACGGCCCAAGAGGGCCGCAAGACGGCCCAAGAGGCGCCCGAGACGGCCCAAGAGGTCCCCGAGACGGCGACGCGTCGAGGGGCGAGACGCACAGGCATCGTGCTGCCACGAGAGGGCGCCGAGCCCAGGATCTCCAGCGACCTGCTGCTGTCTCTCCGCCCTGGCGCTCTTCCAGGGAAGCTCGGCCCTCGGGGGCCCGCCTCGGACCCCCTGGCAAGCTCGGGACATGGGGCGGGCGGCGGAGGGAGGGAGGGGAGGGGAGGGAGGGAGTGAGGGAGGAAGGGAGGGAGGAGGAAGAGGAGGGAGGGAAGGGGGGGGGGGAGGGAGGGAGGAGGAGGGAGGTAGGGGTGAGGGAGGAGAGGGAGGGAGGGAGGGTAGAGGGAAGGGAGGGAGGGAGGGAGGGGAGAGGGAGGAGGAGGATAGAGGGAGGAGGAAGAGGAGGAGGAGGGAGGAGGAGGAGGAGGCCCCCACCCAGGGGGGCGGGGTCGGGAGCCCTCGGGCCGCGGACGGTAAACACACAGCTCGTAGGACGCCAGGGGAACGAGGAGCGACGGAGCGCTGCTGGTCACGGCGGGCCTACGTGAGGAGCGGCCCAGGCACAAGAGCCCGTTCTGAGCCCCAAGGGGTCCTTGCTTCAGCGCCCTGGCTGCATCTGGGGGCGAGGCTTCGAGCTCAGGGCCGGTGCACTCGGGTGCTGGTGCGAGGTGCAGCTCAGTGAGCTCCTGGGGGAGGTATCTTCTGGGACGGCAGCCTACGGACGGGAGATTTTGCTTAGCGTGTCGCGGCGGCGGCCCTGGCGACAAGCTATGTTATGCCCTGCAAGCGGACAACGTGTCGCTCCGTTCCGCGTGGCGGGAGGCTGGGAAAGGCCGGCGGGGTGCTGACGCTCGGGGACCAGGACTTGGTCAACGTGTTAGTTTCGGTGCCGACGGTGTTTGCGATGCTTGCGGTGGACGTTGCGGCGCTCGCAAAGCTGAGCGGCGAGGCCCTCATGGATGCGTACTTGATCGTCGGAGGTGCCGCGGCGTGGACTTCAGAGAGAGCCTGCCAGTGGCATCTCCGACGGGCAGGCGCCGTTTGAGGAGCTTCACTTTTCGGCCTTGCGAATTCCATTCACAACTGAAGCGTGGTTGGCCAGAACCGGAAGCGCGACACGCTGAGCAAACGTTACTGGCCGTCACATTCCCCGCATTCAGCAGACAGTCGCACCCAAAGGCACAGGACGATTGAGAGAGTGCAAGACTCATCCGAGGGCGCATGGCTCAAACACCCGGAGAGCACCGCTCCCGCTTTGGGTTTTTCGGGCCAGGTTCGCTCGTGGAATTGATGCAAGCTGGGAGCCAGCCTGTCACAGCCATTCGGCTACTTGTTGGCATAGGCGTGGCTGTGGCCGGCCGTCTCCATGGTGGCGGAGAAGCCCGAGGACTGGTCTGTGCAGATGCCACTCGAGCGTTTTTTGTCTTTGCTCTCGACATGCATGGCGACACCCAGAGGCGGCCCGTCATACTCGGGAACATTGACCTGGACAACGCAGCCGAAGGTGTAAAGGCAGTTCACGACGGATCCAACATTTTTCTCCTCGAAGAGATCTGGCGTGGCAAACATGGCAGACTCTGGTACTCCAATCTCGCGGACCGCATTTGTGAAGAACGTGATGTTTTCCATCTGCTTGAAGGCCAGGGAGCTAGTGTTACACTTCTTGATCGTTCCAGGCTTCACGGCATTGACCAGCCTGCACAGAAGTACTCCACTTTTGAGCCACTCCCCGAACCCCCTGTCGCCCTTCTTCTCGCCTGTCAGGAACTCGATCCACTCCACCACCTGGTGGGCGATTCCCGAAAACCAGCCCGTCGAAATTACGCCACGCCTGCCAATCCTCCCCTGCTCCTGGAAAGAACTGCAACAAAAAGATTGCCGCCCCCCTCACCGTGTCCCCAACAGAGTCCGCTCGAAACTGTTGCCCCGACCCCTCCCGCGGTCGGTCCTGGCAAGCCTTTCCAGCTGCTCGCAGAGCCGTGGCCATGGGGGCTGCCCCCAGGAGGCCCCCCAAACATGTTGTCAAACGTCAAAGTCCTTCCTCCGAGACGGGGCGGCTGCCGCAAAGGTGGGGGGATATCCAAAGCGACGACCGCGCTCGGTGCCGATGCTGCCTCCCAAAAAAAGCACTCCTCCAAACACCGGTCGTCCGCAAAGACTTTGGAAATGCATGCCTAAGCGTGGGAGTGCGTCGCCGTCTCGGACCCGGTGGGGGAAGCCCAACAGAGCTTGACCGCCTTCTCCGCCATCGCCGCCGCATCCCGCCAGCGACATCCTGTTAATCCCGCCAGCCCTCTGGGCGTAGGTGGTCGAACGATGTCCTTCTCTCCTCGTCCAATACCCTCTTTCCTTCGGGGAGGTGTGCCCTCCCCCTCCCATCCCTGAGGTTTTGGGGGAGGGGGGCCCGAGGGGTTAGAGCGTCCAAGATGGCTCAAGATGGCCGCAAGAGGGCCTCCGATGCTCCAAGATGGCCTCCTAGATGACTCAAGACAGACGAAGATGGCTCAAGATGGCTTCCAGAAGAGGCCCCAAAGACCACTCCAAGACGGCTCTAAGCGTTCTCGGAGGCTGCCAAGGCCCCTCCAAAGAGGTCAACATCTCTCCAACATCTGAGCAACATCAAATATGTGTGCCTTCTCAGCTTTTCGCTTCCGATGCGCTTCTGAAGCCTCAAGGTGCCCCCAAGACGGACCAAGAGAGCCGCAAGAGGGGCCATATATGCCCCCCAGACGCGCCCAAGAGCGCCCCCAAATGCGAATACGAGGTTCCCAGAGGGGGGAGGCAAATCGGGGACCCCCCCTCCTTTGGTTGCTAGCCTTCAAGATGGCATGAAGAGGCCCTCCAGGGCTCCCAAGAGGGCCCCAAGACGAGCCCAAGACGGCCCCAAGACGGCACCAAGGGCGCCCACTAGCGCCCCAAGATCGTCCCACGAGGGCCCCAAGATGCGGTTTGCCTCCTCTTCCTCCTCCTCCTCCTCCTCCTCCTCCTCCTGCTCCCCCAATGATGCAATAGACGGCCCCCGTATCCAGAAGACGCAGGAACTGCGAAGTCGGGCACTGGCAGCACGACGAGACGGAACTGCCGACGCGTTCTGGACACGCGGTATGCTACCAACATCTTGTGATACAGTGCTGGCAGCCCCTGATTGGGACGACTTTGATCATGTGCACGTTCTTGACCAACACCTTGATGACCCAGTCCTGGACTGCACTAACTTCCTCCTCAACCCCTCGGACGCGGTGCATGCCATGACAGCTTACTTGGATGGCTCACCCACCTCCGAGGATGCATGGATTGGCAGGGCGGGCTGGGGCGTGGCAATTCTGCGCGCTGGCGACGCCGCTTGGGGCCCCGAGACGCCCAGAGCAGATTGTACCGAATGGTGGGCACAATGGATGGGCGCCAGACCGTCCCCAGTTCAGAACTCGCGAGTTTATGGTGGCTGTTGAAACTCACAGTTACAACCAACTGGTCTACGACGGCTGGGCCGCTGCAAACTACCGCAACCCATCGGGACCTTTAGCCGGATGGTGGAAGAGAGTCGGGGAAGCCCTCCTTCGTCGACCAGGGCAAGTACGCGTCATCGAATGTGATTCGCATTGGGATTATGATGAAGATATGGCTCTGGTTGGACAAGCTCTGGACATCACGATTGGCAACGGCATGACGTACACCCTCGCGCAGAAGGTGGCATAATACGAAGCCCAAATAAATAATCGAGCCGGCGGTGCGTGCTTTGCGCGAGGTGGACATGTTGACAGCACGAGTTCTGAGGTGCATCGCATCTGTTCAACTGCAGTGCTGCTCGCTTGACAATGGGCGCCTGGATTTGCCACCTCCCCCACCAAAACCAAAGATCTTGGACGAGCTCCTCTTGAAGTCTGGCCATACGTTCGCGCGGCGTGGCAAGAGGTGGATTTGTGAATTATGCTCGGGCTCCCCAGGAAAGTATTCTTTGAAGGAGTGGTTAGTAGCCAACGCTTGCCTTGGGACGGTGCGGCCGCACGCCCAGCCAGGTAGGCCCGTGCGTGTTGCCCCAGAGCAGGTGCCAATCAGTACTCGACAGATTCACGCTTCGCGCCGTGCGAGTAGCACGCATGGCCTGGGATGGTGCTGGCGCTGTGCCCATGTCGGTGTCCAGCTCACGAGCAGAGCACGGATGGTCAAGCTGGCAAGCGAATGTGTCGGCCATCCCACCCCTAGCGAGACCACAGTTTTGAATAGACTGCGCAAGGGGCTGCCACCGAAGGCTGGACAGACATGGCCTGATGGCACAAGTGGCGGCTATCTGCGCCGATTGCTACGTCCGGAGCGCTGGAGGAAACGCATATTATGATCGGCCGAGTCACATTATTTGGCTTTGTGGGTTCGTGCTAAGCCCGCGAAGGATCTTAAAAATCACGAGTGGCCTGGGGCCGGGGAGGTTCGGGGTGAACCGCGAAACGCTGGGTAGCAGCCCAAGAATTGCAGGGGATACCGTTGTGCGCGGTCTGTTTCACTTTGGGTGTACTGTTGTACAGTATCTTGGTTTATATAGCGCATGCTGTGCTTTGGCTCGCTGGTCTTCGCAAAGCGGTATTTCAGCATTGGGGAAATAGTCCGAAATAGTCCTCCTCCTCCTCCTCTTCTCCTCCTCCTCCTCCTCCTCCTCCTCCTCCTCCCCTCGCCCCCCCGCGGGCCCCAGGGACGGCCCGAGGAGGCCCTCAAAGGCCACCCCCCTGCTCCCAGGAATCTGTCTGTTCATCCTGGTTGCCCGCTTTGTTTCACTAGATGTGCCTCGTCGTCCCCATTTCACGTCAGCTCTCATGGGCAGGGTCTCGGGGATAAGCGAAGCGTGAAGCATTACCCTCCGAGGTCCCGCTGCCGAACGTTCGCAGATGACGTACACAGCCCCCCATGCGCCCGCGCAGCAGAGCTACAAACTTTCGCTGCTGCCAGGTCCACCCACTTCAGGGACAACGTTCGGGGGGAACATCGACCTGGAATCGGCGATACATCGCTGGTGGATCGGCGATAGGCCCCCGGTGGCACATGCGCCCGTTCATGGGCGGGGTGGGCTATCGGGCCCCTATCAGCGATCAATGGGAGATTGGGGAGTGATGCATCCCTTCCTGAGCGTATCCCCTCCAGTAATGCTCGGCGTCCGGCTTTCGGGTCAGAACTCGGGTCTGAGGCGGCCGTTCGGAACGATCCGAGCACCCTGGGAATGCTCTCGGCGAGGCGCAGCTGCTGGAGAGCACCCGGGGGGCTGAAAAACAAAAGAGAAACGCCCGAACACCTCGAACATCGATTCCGAGAACGTTGCCCCCCCCCATGACCAGAAGGAACGGGAAGCGAAGCCATGTGAGGAGACGCCTTTTCCTCGACTGGGCGCGACGCGCGTCCAAGCGGGGACAGTGATGGCAGGGGCCCGGCGGCACGCGGGGAGTCCCCAGCGTGCGCAAGGGACCTCGCGCGACACACCGACTCCTGGTACGAAGGAGCAGGCAGAACGCTAGCATCGAGACAGCTGATCGGGTCGAACGAAGGGGAGACTCAGTCAAGGGGAAGTTGGCCAATCAGCTCATGTGCTCCATGGCTGATTTCCCCAGTGCCTTCTGGCGCCGGAGCCGCCAATGTATGGTGGAAAGCGCCCATCGGCGGACCGAAACAAGCTGCACACCTCAGACACCGTAACCCCTCCTTTCCCTACCTAGAAGATCGGCCAAAGGCCAAAAAAAAGGAAGTCGGGGAGGGTGGAACCAACGACGGGACAACCATCGGTCTATCTGGCGGATCACGAAAATCCTGAACTCAAAAACTGTGTTCATCTCTTGGGGGGCAAATTTGTAATTCCGCCGCCTTCCGCCAGCCTTTCGCCGCCTTCCGCCGGCTTCCGCCGGCGGAGGCGGCCTCATTTTGCTGCCGCCGACTTTCCGCCGCCTTCCACCGCGGAAGGAATGAGGACTCCTTCGATCCCCGAAGGCCCCATCCATCGATCTCACGATCAATCGATCTATCCCTCAACACTGTCCCCCCCCCCCCCTTGCGTCCGAACCGAGTGGAAAGGCGAGCTCTGGAAATAGCGCGGGGAGAGCAAGCGGCAGGTGGTCGGGCGCAAGTGCGCGCCGTGGGCCTCACCGCGCGCCCATGCCCAGGGGCCGCCGGGGGGGCTCCCGCCCGTCGCTGGCCTGGTTGTCCTTCAGCATCTTGCCTACCTGAGCGGCGAAAGCAAGCAAGCCTTACAGTCGAGACGCTGTCCTAAGGAACCCTAGGTAAGGAACGAGGCCCCTGTTCTCCATAAGTGAAACTTCGACTTCCCACAGCAAACCTGAGGATGACCTAAGACAAGCTGCAAACCGATTAAGGAACACTGAACCCCTTCCCCAACGAAAAGGGGTGCCGTCGTCAGCGGCCCGACGGTACGCATGATGGCATGGCGACCTTCCGCGACGGCTTACGCAGGCCACCAGCGAGGCACACGGCACTGGCAACGAGGCCGCTCACGCGCGACCTTGGGCGGGCAACTGACGCGCGCATGTCCGCGCAATCGAGCGCGTGTTCTGCGTCGCTCACCTTCTTCCAGGCGGCGATGCCGTTCTCCTTCTCGTACTTGCCCATCCACCTCTGGATCCTGCTGTAGTCGGGCTTCGAGGGGGAGGTCCCGAGCAGGACCAGGTTGTGGTCAAAATCCTCGATGAAGATCTGCCACGGGGCAGGGTATACGCGGAAGAACGTCGTTTGCCAGTTGTTGATCGGCGTCTGGCAGAAGTAGTACGCCTGCATCTCAAACATCTGGCAGATCTCGGTCCCAACGTCAGCCGTGGACGTGAGGTAGAAATCCTGCCCCTGGTTGTCCACTTTCCACGGCTCGGGCGCCTGCTCGGTGTTGGCGAGAACCACCAGCCGATCCCCCATGTTCTGAAAGAACGTGCCCACCCTGGGCGAGGTCACGACCGCGCGGCCAGGGAGGTAGAAGACCGCAGCGTCCATGATGGCGTTCTCGGCCTCCCGGTACAGCAGGGTGGCCACCTCGTCGTCGATGGGGGACACGGGCTGTGTCCTCACCTGCTTCAGGGACTCACCGCCCCAGAGCTTCGACGCGAAGCTCTTTGCCAGCGGCAGGGTCTGCTGGAGCAGCTTCTGACAAGAGTCTCCCGCTCCTTCTCGAAAAACGACGTCGGTCCTGAAGGACTCTCCCAAACGGGGGCTCCAATGCATCGCCGATGCATCGGCGACTTCGGGGATACATCGAAGCCGTCTGCGTGGAGAACATCGGGCTCCACATCAAGCCACGTCGCCGATGTATCGTCGACGCGGTGTGATCCTCCGACCAAATCTAGAGCAGGAACTTCCGATACGAAATCTTGAACGCTTGTCGTCGAGCTTTGCGCTTCCTGAGGTGGCCGAGGCGGCCCCCGGAGGCCTCCCCAGGCGGCCCCAGGAGGATCTTCAGGAACCTCTTCGGTCAAATTCTGGAGATTTGTGTGGTATACGTCAAAAAACTTGTTCGGTAGAAGTCCGGAGGTTTGTTCGGTAGAAGTCCGGAGGTTTGCTCAAAAGAAGTCGAGTGGTTTGTTCCGAAGTTCGTGGGTTTATTGTACTTTCCAGCCGGGGGCTTCTGTAGCCCCCAAGAGCCATCAGAAAATCAGAAGCTCCTGTCGGGCACCTGCTGGCACAAGCGGATCTTTCCTCCGCATCTGCCGTGCCCGCTGTGCTTGGACTCAATTTTGCTGCGGCCTGGAGGTCCTCAACCGCACCGACTGCCTGGTGTAGCCGTCCCTGTACGCCTGCATGACGGCATCCGCGGCCTGCCTGTGAGGACCAAAGAGGACTGAAACGGCTACCCCGCTGCCTGCGAGAACTAAAAAGGGACCAAGAGGGCTCCAATAGGCGAGTTTGAGGGACTCTGTCCTCGTGCTCGCTGTCCTCTTTCTCCTCCTCCTCCTCCTCCTCCTACTCCTCCTCCTCCTCCTCCTCCTCCTCCTCCTCGTCCTTGCCCTCATCGTCCCCATTCCCCTTTTCCACCTCTTCCAGGGGTGCGTTCTGACCAGAATTTCGGGGAGAATCTGTCCGTGGCGACGAGGGCCTCCCAGGAGGCCTAAAAAGGCGAAAACGAGGGGATGATAGCGGTATCGGCACCTTCCCTGAGATCCCACGTTGACATAACGTTGCAACATCGCGAAGCATCCCGACTGGAGCACCAGACCCCATCTGATCAATATGTGACGGCCCCAGGTCCCACCCTCGGGCGAATGCAATTTATTATCGAGGGCCCGGCGAGAGATCAGGTAGCGGCATCGGAACGACAGGTTCGTGTCGTGCCGACCCCAGAGTTGGTTTCTGACACCGCAGGGATCCTTCAATCTTGAACAATCGGCCGTTTTCGCAACGTCAGATCGTTCAACATCGACCGATTCTGGATCGCCGGCCGCGTTCAACGTTGAACGCTGGCGGCGGGGGCGCCGGCGGTCGCCACGACGCGAACCTGCCGTACGTGTTTTCCTGCTCGGTTCAGGCCGGCCATGTCCCCGTACAGGCGGATTTTGGACGAAAAAGCAATAACTAAAACATGATCAAAAGTACATATTAGGAAAATCGTCCTCTGACTATTTGTCGAATATTTTCGCATACATTCCTCTTCCTATATTTTTATAAGCCCGGGCGGGGGGAAAACCCGTCACCCTCCCCCCCCCTAAAACCGGACCCCCGGGATCTGGAGCTTTGGGACCCTCCGGACGGGCCTCGAAGCGGCCCCCCGGGCCTCCCATGGCGTTTTGCCAAGCCTTCGCAGCACACCCAGTGCGATCAAGGGGGTCACCGGAGACGTCCCAGAGACCCCCAGGACAGCACAAGAGCGCTCCAAGAAGCCGTCATACCCCGAATGATCGCTCCAAAACGTACCAAGAGGCCTCCAAGAGCACCCGCAAGAAGGCCCCAAGAGGGAAAAATCGTTGATTCTATGTAGGTTTTTGGTGCATTTGGGGTTCTCCTCTTTTCGGCTTCCCGACGCTCCAAGACGGCGGTCTCCTAGGCGTCCGAAGCCGCCTGGGAGGCTCCCAAATCGCCCCACAACCATCCGAAAGGGCTTCCAGGCAGTCCAAGAGCCCCAGAACGGCGCAACAGGAGTCCAAAATGGCCCTAAGAGAGCACCATAGCGGCCCAAGATGGCCCCAAGACACCCTCCGAAGCATTCCAAATCGTGACTGGGGCGTCCAGGGACACCGCGGTTAGAGGCAGGTTGGCCTTAGGAAGCCCCAGAGGCCCCCAGAACCCACCCAGGAGGCCTCCAGAAGGCTTTAAAAAAGTCCGAGAACTTTGGTGAGGCCCCCAGAGGCTCTCCAAGGAAGAGCCTCCGCAAAAAGAGCTGAGGAGGATGGGGAGAATGCCCAGGGTATGGCGAGAATGAGGAAACATAAACATGGAGGAAGGATAACGAACAACAGTATTATGACGGCGATGCCGGAAAAGGCAGCAAGGAGTTATCGCTAAATTGTCGGCTTGACCTTCCTTCCATTTCCGCCTGCATACCAAACTTCAAGGACCAAGGTGCATGGCGCGAAGCGCCACTGCAGTCTTGTATATTTAGATAAACATACACATATATATGTATATACACATATCATCATCTCATAATATAAATATATAATATATATAATATATATAATATGTATATAATATACATAATATACATATATACACCTCCTGCAGAGGGACGTGCCCGTCTCCTCGCTCGGCCCGCCTGCACATGCCCTCCGTGGAGTTCGGCATGGCGGGCAGCGGCCGCGTGGAGCCGGGCGCGGCCCACCGCCAGCTGCCCGCCGCGGCGGCGGCGGTGCGCTGCCCTTGGCGGGGCCCGCGGCCCCGCAGCCCGCGCGCGGCGAGGACGAAGCCGGGCCTCGAGGGAAGAAGCACGGGGGGCCATGGCCAGGATGCCGCGGCATCTTGTCTACTGGGCGCGAAAACGACCACAGCCACTGCTTTTCTTTTGTTGCCGCCTTCCAGCCTGCAGAAACAAAGCAGTGGTTGTGGTCATTTTCGTTGAGCTTGGCATCAGGGAAATGACCACAACCACTGCTTCTTTTTCGGCCGGCTGGAAGGCGGCGCAAACAAGAAGCAGTGGCTGTGGTCATTTTCCCGTCTCGCATTGTCGGTGCCGGTCTTGATCATGGTCCATGTCGGCCGTCGCCGGTTCGCTCCACGAACTGAGGCTGACCGAGATCGACGGTAACCAAGATGGGCGCGACGTCTCCGCGTTCAGTCTTGGCCATGGCCCCCGCTTTCTTCCCCTCCAGGGCCGGCTCCCAGGCGGCGGCACCAGGCGGAGAAACATCCGCCGCCCCAGACCCCCTCGGGCCATGAACTGTTCACGACGGCAGGCGTTTCGCTGTGGTCGGCCTCTGGGGAGGCTCGCGGGGCCTCGGGACCGTCAAACGACGACTCGGGACGAAAAGCCGGTCCTGGGGAACGGGTCGCGACCCCGAGGGTCGACATTACGAACAAAGTCATGACGCCGGGGGGCTGGGGCCGTGCCCCAAGAGGCACGAGCTGGAGCGCTCTCGGTCACGAGTGGCAAGCGAGTGTCCATATCCGGCATCCTTCCTTGTCGATGTTGATCGGACTTCAGGCACGGGGCTTGCAGCGTTCCCAGCCTCCTCCTTCTCCTCTGACATCTGGCGTCTCTAGTCAAGAAAATGAGATGGCGTTTTTTCGTACTTTTCTGCCTTTGGGGGCCCTCGCAAGGCCCCGGTACCGTCAAAAAACGCTTCGGGGTGAAAATCCAGCCTTGGGGATAGGCCGAGAGGTCGGGAGCCCGTCTCGAAAAGATCGTGACGCCGGATGTCTGGGTCGAGGCACGAGCTGGAGCGCTCTCGGTCACGAGCGGCGGACAGATCCACATCTAGCCTCCTCCTCCTCCTCCTCCTCCTCCTCCCACGCCAGGCGGCGGCGGCAGCGGCGACGGCGACGACGACGACGGTGTGGAGAAAAATCGCCGAATGACCAGACCTCACGAGCTCAGATCCACGCCCTCGCGGTCTGGGCTCCGAGGCGAGGTCCCGCGGATTCGCGGTCGCACGGATGCGTTCCGCGCGGGGCGTCCGCGAGACAACGCCCCGTCTCCGCGGGGTCGCGGCCCAGGCGCCCAGCCCGCGATGCCGCGGATACTGACATGCGTTTCGCCCACGACTCGAGGCACGAGCTGGAGGGTTCTCAGGTGCCTCCCAAGGACCCCCAAACCTAAGCGTTGCAACCTTTTCACGCCAAGCTTTTTCGCCCGGCTCCGGGCCCTGGGGTCATCACAAGTCGATCCGGCTGGTAGAATGCCGCAGGCAGATGGGGTCTGCAAGGGCTCCCGTCATGGTTTGCTGCGATGTTGCCATTTTTGTCGCAACGTCGGATCTCGGGGCAAGGCGAAGCCAAGACTGGGACAAGACAGGCCAGAGAAATCGGGATCCTCTGAAATCCGGCGGTTCTGCAAGAAATTGTGGGCGCCGCGGCCGTTCCAGGGCGCTCTCAGATCGCTCTGGGAGCGTTCCGGAACGCACTGGAACGATCCCGCCTGGCGAAGGTCAAAGGATCCCCACAGGCATCCAAAAGGCCTCTGGCCTGCAACTCAGGCGCGGTGGCGGAATGGGCCGAGGGCCACCAGGAGGCTCCCAGGAGGCCCCAGGAGGCCGCACCTCCTCCTTCTCCTCCTCTGCTTCTCCGTCCCCCAAAAGCGTTTCCGCAACGGCTGGGAAAACGCTGTTGGCAAGCCTTCGGCACCGACGCTTGGCCACACATGCGTTGCCAAAGGCAAAGGGGCGGCTGTGCTTCGCCGTAGGCGTCTTCGATACAAATCACGACCGAGACGGCGCCCGCACAGAGGGCGGCATGGCCGCCGAGGCGCGGCCATCGCCTTCTGCGCACAGTGGCGCCTGCCGCCCTCGCGGCCCGCCGGTGTGGGGCCCACGCCAGTCTGACGGGGTCCTCGCCGCCGCGCAAGCCTGTGGCCACGCCCTCCGTGAGGCAGCCCTCGCGAGAGTTGCCTGAAAGGCGCCCGCTTGCGGCGCAGGCAACGGGGGCGGTGCCGGGCGGCTCCTGCACGGTCTCGTCATCGGCCAGCGCAAGCTCCCCTGCCGCCCGTCGGGGGGCCGGGGCGTCCGAGCGGGCCTGCGCTTGTGAGGCGCGCTCACGCGCCATGGTTCGGCGGCCGCGAGCGGGTGGGCCTGAACCGACGCGTCTACGTGTCGACGTGCAGAAGTGAACGAGGAGGAGAAGGCACCACAACTCAACCGAAGCCACAAGCCCCCAACGCACACACACAAACACACACACACACACACGCTGTCTTTCACACGCACACACAAAACACACGCACACACACGAACGGCTGCTCTCGAGGTGGAGAGAACGGGGCAGGCCAGAAGGGGGAACGGGCAAGAGCACGGAAGGGAAGGGGAAACCTCCCCCCCCCCGGCTCACCATCACCCCGCCCCTCCCTTGTCTCACCCTTCTTCCACCCACCCACCTCTGCCCTCTCAGTTGAAGGAGCCTCAACCACAGCTTAACCCGAAGGAGGAAGATAAGTGGAAGAGGATTCGTGGGTCAGGCCAATTTCATTGACTTCCCTGGCCAACGATCAACCAACCGACACGCCGGAGCGTCCGCATGACCCGGTCGTTTCACCTTCCTTTCACAACCTTTGGCGGCCTCCGCATGTCAAGTTATACCATGCGGGCCGCTCGCGCCCGTCGACCGCGTGCACACGTCGAAATCTGTCCAAAACCTTCGTCGCCGAAGCGTGAACAGCATCGGCGTCGTCATCGGCCTCGCCGTCGTCATCGTCACCGTCAGCACCAGCACCGCTACCATCATCATCGCATCAGCCATTGCCGACGTTGCCATAGGCCACGCCCGTCCGAGCCACCGCCTCGCACTGAAGTGCCGCGCGTCAGCGCGGCCCGCGAGACGCGGCCCCGAGGCCAGCGCGACCGCGGCCGCGTCGGTCGCGCCAGACTGGCTAGCCGCTCTGCGTGCGAAACTGCGCGCGCTAGCGCGGCGGCAGCGATGCGCCAGTCAGCACTAAGCAATCGCTGCAATCGCCACCGCATGGGTTTTGCAAACCAAGTTGCGGGTGGGTGGGTGGGATAATTGCGCGAGCAATGGAATTGACACCCGTCAAGTTCAACTCCAAACTGTTCACAAAAAGTTGCACCGTGTAGACTGCACTGTGCTGCATACGTTGCCCCGCATAGATTACACAGCATAGACTGCGCACCACACAGACTGCACAACAAATGTTGCACTACGTAGGTTGCACCACCTACAGGCTCGGAACCATTTCTGCTTACGGCACAACAACACCCCAAGAACAATCGAAAGACAAACGAAAAAAATAAAAAGCCACCCAACAAACAAACGAAAACGACCGAAATGAAAAAAAAAGAAACACCGCGAAAGACGATAAGACAACAACACCCACAAACACAAAAAAAAAAAAACGCCGAATAAAAAATAACAAACCCAAACACTAAAAAAAAAAACGACGAAAAAAAAAACGGAAAAAAAGAAAAAAAAAAACAAAAAAAAAAAAATAACCGAAAAAAAAAATAAAACGGAGAAAAAAAAAAGAGGCGTACCAAAAAAAAAAACAAACGCAAAACAAAACCCAACGAAGAAAAAAAGAAAAAACCCAAAACCATACAAAACACCCGAAAAAAAAAAAAACAAACAGCAAAAAAAAAAACATAAAAAAACGAAAGCGAAAAAAATAAAACCCGAAAAAGAAAAAAACGCAAAAAAATCAAAAAAAAAAAACCACCCCCCCCCAAAACCAATAAAACCGAAACAACCGAAAAAAAAAAACCGAAAAAGGGCGAAAAAAAAAAAAAAAAAACAAAAAAAAAAAAAAAAACAAAAAAATAAAAAAAACAAAAAAAACCCAACCCCAAATAAAAACAAAAAAAAAAAGAAAACGGCGACGACAAAAAAAAGAAAAAGAAAAACGAAAAAGCAACACAAATAAAACTAAAAAAAAAAAAAACCCGGAAAAAAGGCCAAAAAAAAAAAAAAAAAAAAAGAAAAAGAAAAAAAAGCCGACGAAAGAGAAAAAAACGAAAGACCCCCACAAAAAAAAAAAAAAAACGAAAAAACCGAAAAAAAAAAAAAAAAAAAAAGAAAAAAAAAAAAAAAAACAAAAAACGAAAACAAAAAAAACACGAAAAAAAACAAACCTAAAAAAAAAAAAAAAAAAGAGAAAATACAAAAAAAACAAAAACAAAAAAAAAAAAAAGAAAACGAAAAAAGAGAAAAAAAGGAAAAAAACCTTCCGCACCCGACCCCGTCCGCCTCGCCGGACATGTGGTCCACACACACACACACACACCATGAAGTTCTAAACGACCTCTCGCCGGGGGGGGGCCCTAGGTGGATCCACTCCTTTAGTTAGAATGTCCTTCTTAAGGAGAGTGGGTGGAGCCTGGTTTGGGCGATTCTGCTTGGGACGCCCTCAAAATCTGCCTGGTTTGGGCCCTGGTTTGATCTGGTTTGGCTCGGTTGGGCCCTCAAGACTTGCTTGGTTTGGCTTGGTTTGGGCCCGGTTTTGTCTAAGACGTCCTTCGAATTTGCTTGGCTTGGCTTGGTTTGGGCTCGGTTTTCCTTAAGAAATTCTTACAATTTGCCTGGTTTGGCCTGGCTTGGGCCCGGTTTTGCCTGAGACGTCCTCACAATTGGCTTGGTTTGGCCTGGTTTGGGCCCGGTTTTGCCGGAGACGTCCTTGCAATTTGCTTGGTTTGGCCTAGTTTGGGCCCGGTTTTGCCTGAGACGACCTCACAATTTGCCTGGTTTGGCCTGGTTTGGGCCCGGTTTTGCCCGAAACGTACTTGCAATTTGCCTGGTGGTTTGGGCCCAGTTTCTCTTGAGACGTGCTCGCAAATTGCCTGGTTTGGCCTGGTTTGGGCCTGGCACTTCATTTGAATAGGTACGCGCGTGGTCACATCGGCCCCACTCCCTGTGGGAAATCGGATACAAATTCGCCCAGACTGTCCTCGCTCGCACTTTCTGAAGAAATGTGCACGTGTTGCGACCCTGGCTCAAAGGCCGAATCCAAGAGGGAATTCACGATTATATTTCAAGTACTTGCGCCTGTGGTCAGATCGGCCCCGATTTCCATCGGAAATCCAACACAAATTCGTTCGGTCCGAACTCGATCACACTTTCGGGAAAAATCTGCACGTGCTGCAACCCCTGCTCAGAAACCGTGTCCAAGATATAAAGCACGACAATACTTGAATAGTTGCGCCTGTGGTCACATCGGCCACGGCTTCTGTTGCAAATATCATACACATTCATTGGGTGTCTCCTCGTTTGCTCTTTGGGTCTCTCCTACTTGCGTATGTTCTGCGATTTCCTTCCCGGGGTCGCATCATAGAAAAACACGATGTTGCATAAAATGCCGGAACTCAAAGAACAGGTCAAACACATAAGAGATTGGGTGGATCAGGCGGGCCCAAGCACAAGTAGCCCAAACGGACGGTTCCTTTTCAAACATGTGTTTGTTTGGGGGTGACAGCAGTATATCCCCCCCAGAAGGGGGTGGCGTTGTCTCCCCCAGCACGTCCCCCTCCCGAAGGGGGGAAGCGCCGCCCTGGGGTCTCCCCTTGCTTAAGGGAGAGTGGTCGGCCAGATCGAGACACTAGCCAGCGATGAGGCGAGAACCAGGGAGTGGCTGGCGTTCGGGCGAGAGCGCACGTCAACGTCGTCGTAGTCGTCGTCGTGGTCGTCAAAATGATAATCGTCGTCGTCGTCGTCGTCGGTGGCGTCGTCGTGGGGGTGGTGCGACGCTCCGAGACACATCATATTTTGTCACACGGTGCAGGGGCATGAAGGAAACTATTCATTCACACACGTGGTGGGAGTATACATTCGGGACGTTCTGGCTTCTAGGTGTTCCCAAGACACATTGGGTATTGTCAATGTGTGTATGACAATGGACTAACATTTCACTCACGTCGTGGGTGCAAACACGCGAAGCAGGACGGTGTGTACTGAACACACATACTGGACCACATTCCGCACCTTTGTACTACAGTAGAACCGGAACAGTGGGTATGGACATCCGAAGCGCAGTGAGTTCGGCCAGCCACTGCACCACATAGTGCAACCATCGCTCACACACAAATTATCCTGTTATGCGGCATTGGACCATGTGCCGGCGTAAATTGAAAACATGGATTGCACAACTTAGGTTGTACCACGTCAAATTCACCACTTCATCACGTGGGTTGTCCCACATACATCGCACCACATAGACTGCACAACAGATATTGCGCAACAGAGATTGCACCACATACATTCCGCATTGCTAGAAACAAATGCTGCATCACGTCGATCGCACCACATAGATTGCAGAACCTAGATTGCTCCACGTAGATTGCACCACATATATTGCACCACATAGATTGCACCAAATATATTGCACAACGTAGATTGTACAACCTGCGTTGCTAGAAACACTGTTTTGGGCCCACGCTGACTAACCTGAAGATATACGTATACAAGCATGCATATGCATCTGCACACATAGATCAAACAGCGCAGCCGTCCGACGCACAATGTTTCGCAGGGTTTAAGGACACTAAAACAACGCGGGTCGACAAAACAAATGGCAGGAGTCTAGGCCTCTGGAGGCCAGTTTCGCGCCCCCCCCCCTGCCCGAGACCGAGCCAAGCTGGAGGCGCCTGCGCTTCCAGGGCGACGTCGTACTTCGCCTCTTGCTTCGCACGCAGCTCCCTGTCCATGCCATAGAGCGACTCCTCCCTATCCATCTCGCGCTCCTCCGGCGCCGCGGCCTGTGGCGGGAACGCCCTTGTACTGAATCGAACCCAACCTGCCAGCCCTCCCTGGGCGCAGGTGATTCAGGGGATCAGAACTTCCAAAACAACCTCGAAATCGGCTCGCCTCCTGGGAAAGGTTCACCACTCCACCTAAACCCTGGAACACTCCCCAGAGTTCTCCTAGGTTGCCCCAGAAAGGCCCAATAGGCAACAAGACAAAGAAGGCCTTGAGAGGGCTTGCGATGACTCCGATGGAGCCCTGTCTATCTGTCTGTCACGACGGCCATTCGCCAAGCGTCCATCGCAAGATCACTGTTGGCGAATACCCCGCTGCGCATGCGGCGTGTTCCTGCCCTGTCGGCACAGACGCTGGTTCCTGGCACCGCGCAGATCGGTCAACCTGGAGCAGCCCCCACCGCAATCTCCAAATCAAATCAATGCTGGCCTTCTCTGGGCCGCCAGTGGCATCCAAGTTTGAGCACACCCACTGGCGTCGCCGCAGCGCATTATGGTGCACATTGAAAGCTATATGAAGCCTGGCAACGCTGTGTGCCTGTGTGTGCCTAGCAAGGCTGTGTGCCTGTGGGAATCGGGAAGGTTCGACCGATAAATGAGTAGGTGACGTTCGTGACCCAGTTCTACGTCGAACATCTTGCTCTAACAGAGGTCGGAATTGTACTTGTACACGGCTGTGAGTCGCTTGCGCAACTGCATCCCGACTGAGTGAGGCGGTCGCATGGTCTTACACTGCCCCTGGGTGCGTGGCTGAAGTGCGGTTCAGCGGTGTGGATTCATGTTCGTCTGGTTGCTAACCCCGCCCCGCGACCACCCGCGACCCACCCACGATCCGCCGCGCGACCCAACCGCGACCTGCTCGCGACCCATCCGCGCTCCTCCACGAACCCGCCGCGCGATTCGCCCGCCGAGCCGCAATCGGCCTACCCCCGAACCACTCACGCCTGCGACGGGCTCGCGGTGCACAAAAAGCCAGCACTTGCGGCGGGCTTCTTCACTGCACATCTGATTTCACGTCTCGCAAACTGCCGACGACACCCCCGCCCCCCAAGTCGTATCCGCAAATGCAGGAGGCAGGGTGCGTCACGGCTAACAAACAAGCAGGTGTCGTGACTCAATTCTGTGGCAAACATCTTGCTGTAACTGAGATCGGAAGTGTACTTGCACGCGGTATGGGAACCGTTTGCGCAAAGGCATCCCGACTGTCAGAGTCAGGCGGTCGCATGATCTTACACTGCCCCTGGGTGCGTGGCTGAAACACGGTTCCAAGGTGTGGATTCATGTTCGTCTGGTTACCAACCCCGCTCCGCGACCCACCCACGACCAACCTCGCGACCCACTGGCGACCCATCCGCGACCCGTCCCAAGATCCACCCACGTTCCACCCGCGACCCACCCACGATCCGCCCACGACCTGCCCGCGACCCATCCGCGCTCCACCACCGACCCGTGGCACGATTCGCCCGCCGAGCCGCAGACGATCTACCCGCAAACCACTCACACTGGCTTAAACCAAAATGTGCGGCTGCGGCGGGCCCGCATCAACGCCTGCGGCGGGCTTCTTCACATCAGATCACGTCTCGTGAACTGCCGACGCCCCCCCGCCCCGTCACTCTTATCCGCAACTGCGGGGGCTATGGTATGTCAATGTCGGCGACGTCGAGATCTTATGGGCGTCGCACCTCATCAAGCAACCAATGTACGAGCTGTGCGCAATTCAAGCTCACATGAAATTGTCACCTGCCGTCGCCACCTGCCAATAGCAAGAGCCGTGGGGCACCGTCATACGAGTGTGTGCTGGGCCACCCTGCTGATCCAATGACCACAGAGACGATGTCACCGCATGTCACCGCTATCAACGATCCACCAAGAGCTGGGCGCAGGAGCAGTGAACGTGTGTCCAAGCGCAATTTTGAAGTGGCACCGAGTTGTCCACCACGCTTGCAGCGAGAAAGTTAGCTATGAAGCCCCTGCTGGCTCGGGCCATATATTGCCCCATGAGAAAATATATCATCCACGAAACGGGCCCATGATATGCATCAACCCTCAGATCGGTTGGCTCGTAAGTACAACAAATCGCTGAGCAGTGTGCATGCGCGTGGGGAGGGAGGTCGCCTCTAGGGCCGTCCCCCGCAATCGCCTCTATCTACCAGGGGGTGCTCGAATATGCCATAGACTACCTAAGACCGTCCCCCCAAAAGTCCCAAAACCTGAAACATGTTTTGCACTTGGCCGGCACGCTCTCCTCCTGAAGGCCCTGGGGAGGCAACAGTATTGGAAACCCAGACGTCTGTTTGAATGCTTTTGGGATCCCACCGCAGAGGGCTCAGGACGGCCTCCCGGTGGTCGGCGGCGGGCGCGGGGGGGAAATGAGAAGGGGCGGGACTTCCGAGGCTTCTGAGAAGTTTCCGGACTTCTGAGAGGGCTTCTGAGAAGTTCAGTCTGTATTCGAAATAAGCTAAGGAGACCTCTCAGAAGTCCCCCGGACTTCTAAGAAGTCCCGCGGCCTTCTGACAAGGCCTGCTCCTTCTCATTTCCCCCCTGGGCCCGCCGCCGAGGTGGCCTCTGGGCACCATCCCCCAGGCTTCCCGCAGACGGCCCAGCTCTTGCCGTCCACGCTCCGGCCCTCACGAAGGATATGCACCACGTCACCAGCCGCCAGCGGCCCCCGGGGGTCGACTCGGGGCCTCCCGAGCGGGGACTATACTTGGTGAACCAGGACATTGACGCGCCAACGAACACCGCAGCCGTGGATCGAAACATTCTGCCATTCTTCGTTCCTTCCAGAAAGGAGATGCTCAAGATCCTGCTTCGCAATGTCCTGGTTTGTACAAAGGGGACACCCCCCCGCCCCATCCCATCAACCGGAACTGCCGCCACCCGGAATCAGAAAAAACGCCAGCTGCGGCTGACCTGGTTGAGTGATTCTGATGACTTCCCAACCGTCCTATGGTGTTGGGCCCTCGTTTTGAAGAGACAGTGCCCCGCTTCTTTCCTCGTGCTCTCCTCTCCTCCTCCTCCTCCTCCTCCTCCTTCTCCTCCATCCTCCCATCCCTGCCTCTGCCCTCCGCATGTCAACCAATTCAATACATCCCGCACACGCTTCGCGCTTCGTGGCCCCATAGGGAGCTCCACGAAAGGCCCCAGTGACCGCGGCCGCATGCGTCCGCGCCACCCTGTACACCGCTTCGTGACCCTGTAGGGAGCTCAGCCGAAGGCCCCAGTGACCGCGGCCGCATGCGTCCGCCCCACCCTGTACAACGCTTCGTGGCCCCCTAGGGAGCTCAGCCGAAGGCCCCAGAGGCCGCGGCCGCATTCGCCCGCGCCACCCTGTACAGCGGTTCGTGGCCCCATAGGGAGCTCCACCCCTGGTGAGCCTGCGATATTGGTCAGCTCCATACAAAACCCCAGTGGCCACGGCCGCTTGCGCCGACCGCGCCCGGTACAGCGGTTCGTGGCCCCAGAGGGATGTCCACCAAAGACCCCAGTGCCCGCGGCCGCATGCGTCTCCCCCGCCCATTACAGGACACCCCATCACGCGTCTCGTAGCCCCCGAGGGAGCGCCACCGAAAGCGGTACCCACAACGCAGCACTCACAGCTGCAAATGGTTGGGGACCTTCGCCGGGATAATTCTGTTGGGCTTCGGGGCCCAACCACTAACTGCTCGGCTCCCTTACCGGGGATCCGACAAGTCGAGTCCCGCCAAGCCTGCGCGGACTGCACGCTGGGCGCGCCACATCTCTCGGCCGGGCCGGGCGCAGCAGCCGCGGGCGCCGCCTGCGCAGCGGCATCCCCCGCCGGCGGCTCCGCCTTGGCAGGCGGAAGGAAGCAGAGCCACGGCATCGGGGCAGCACAAAATGAATAGCGACATGTGTCGCCGCGCCGTTTGTTCTCGACGAGCCCAAATGGACGACGCCGAGACCACGGCAAACCCACGACACACCCTGCGTTCCGCGCCCCAAGCAAACGAGGCCAGCACTGCTGCAAATTCCACGGCGAAACTATCGCGTCAGAGGCGGAGTTTGCACTGATGGCCGCGGCGCCCTCCCAAAGACACAAGGCTACGAATCGGAACAAACGGCGCGGCGACATGCGCATGTTTTGCGACACGGTCGGTTGGTCCAACACAGCGAGGACAGTAGCGGGATGGTACCACCGAGCGTGCGGCAGTGGAATGCCAACGGACAAGCCGTCGACGGATGCAGGAAAAAACTGGAAAACATGTACTCACACACACACACACACACGCGCACATCTCAACAAGAGGAGCACAGGAGCCAACATACACACAGACACACAGACACACAGACACACAGACACACAGACACAGACACAGACACAGACACAGACACAGACACAGACACAGACACAGACACAGACACACACACACACACCACACACACCCCGACCCCCAACCCCCACCCCGCCTGGCCCCCCTGCCCAGAGGGGAGGGGCCGGGTGAGGATGGGGTCTGCTGTCTACGCCCCTTGTGCGAGACGCCCTCGCAGTCGGGAGCCAAAGCTCCCTGGCCCAGCCCCCGAGCGGGCAGGTGGGGGTGGAGGTGCACTGTCTTTGACCAGTACCCGTCGCTGGAACTTTGGTTCGCTCGTCCGTAGATGTGGCAATGCAGGCATGGTGCGACGGATGCAGCCTTCAGTGCATGTACTCACCGCGAAGGCGAGGTGTGCCGGCATTCAGCTCGAATCGCAGATCGAGCGCGCAGGAGGCTCGTTCCAGAAATCCCGAATGTCAAAACGTGCGATGTTTACTTCCGCCTGCTCCCGCCGGCTTTCAGTCGGAGTCCGCCGGAGGAACGGCCCGTGTGTTACTTCTGCTGGCTTCCGCCAGGGAAGTGCCGCCAAGCCCTTTGATTTCTCAAAGGCGATTCCCTTTCTGGGACGCCCCACGAGGAGAAGGGAGAGTGAAGCAAGCACGCAAGCAATCTCGAGAAGCCCTGCATGATTTACGGCCGTCG